TCTCTCTCTCTCTCTCTCTCTCTCTCTCTCTCTCTCTCTCTCTCCTCTCTCTCTCTCTCTCTCTCTCTCTCTCTCTCTCTCTCTCTCTCTCTCTCTCTCTCTCTCTCTCTCTCTCTCTCTGTCTCTCTCTCTCTCAGGTAAATAGGTACCTGGGATATATATATATATATATATATATATATATATATATATATATATATATATATATATATATATATATATATATATATATATATAATATATATATATACGTCGCATTTTTTACGTATTGGTGGATTGAGATAAAACTATCAGGCTTCTTCATTAACTCATCATTTGTATCATCCTTTTCAGGTAGGCCTAACTGTGTGATGTATAGGCCTAGTGTACAAGTACTCGTGAAACCCTCTTCAGGTATATTCCTGGCAGGCAGAAGGTACGTATCATCGATTGTTAATTGATAAAACTACCAATTAGACAAACATAAGATAGGTTATCTTGTGGTTGGGTTAGGCTAGGTTAGGTTATCTTGTGGTTGGGTTAGGCTAGGTTAGGTTATCTTGTGGTTGGGTTAGGCTTGGTTAGGTTATCTTGTGGTTGGGTTAGGCTAGGTTAGGTTATCTTGTGGTCGGGTTAGGTTAGGTTAGGTTATCTTGTGGTTGGGTTAGGATAGTTTAAGGAAGGATAGGTTAGGTTTGGTCTAAGATAGGATAGGTTAGATGAAGAAATCCACAAAGGGCCGTGAGGAGGGCTCGAACCTGCGTCTGAGAGCATCCCAGACCTTAATCGACTGAACTTACGACATGGTCAACAGAATTGCAACCGGGAAGTCAACTGGAGTTACCACGGATCCTGCAGCCTCTCCGAGACACCAACCAGGTTTTTACACAACTCCCCCCATGCACCTGAGCTCTTCCAATAGGCTATTCTACCTCTTCGCCCTTACTTCATTAACCTCTCGGACCCAGGTTCGAATCCTCGTCACGGCCCTTGTGGATTTGTTCATTTGATGCATCAAGCTATTGTGATTTCTGTGTGTTAGGATAGGTTTGGTTTAAGATAGGATAGGTTAGGTTGGTTTAAGATAGGTTAGGTTGGGTTTAAGATAGGATAAGTTAGATTTGGTTTAAGATAGGATAGGTTAGATTTGGTTTAAGATAAGATAGGTTAGATTTGGTTTAAGATAGGATAGGTTAGGTTTGGTTTAAGATAGGATAGGTTAGGTTGGGTTTAAGATAGGATAGGCTAGGTTGGTTAAAGATAAGATAGGTTAGATTTTGTTTAAGATAGGATAGGTTAGGTTGGGTTTAAGATAGGGTAGGTTAGGTTGGGTTTAAGATAGGATATGTTAGGTTGGGTTTAAGATAAGATAGGTTAGGTTGGGTTTAAGATAGGATAGGTTAGGTTGGGTTTAAGAGAGGATAGGTTAGGTTTGGTTTAAGATAAGATAGGTTAGATTGGATTTAAGATAGGATAGGTTAGGTTTGGTTTAAGATAGGATAGGTTAGGTTGGTTTAAGATAGGATAGGTTAGAATGGGTTAAGATAGGATAGGTTAGGTTGGGTTTAAGATAGGATAGGTTAGGTTGGGTTTAAGATAGGATAGGTTAGGTTGGGTTTAAGAGAGGATAGGTTAGGTTAGGTTTAAGAGAGGATAGGTTAGATTTGGTTTAAGATAGGATAGGTTAGGTTGGTTTAAGATAAGATAGGTTAGGTTGGGTTTAAGATAAGATAGGTTAGGTTTGGTTTAAGATAGGATAGGTTAGGTTGGGTTTAAGATATTATAGGTTAGGTTTGGTTTAAGAGAGGATAGGTTAGGTTAAGTTTAAGATAGGATAGGTTAGGTTGGGTTTAAGATAGCAAAGGTTAGGTTGATTTAAGATAAGATAGGTTAGGTTGGTTTAAGATAGGATAGGTTAGGTTGGGTTTAAAATAGGATAGGTTAGGTTGGGTTTAAGATAGGATAGGTTAGGTTGGGTTTAAGATAAGCTGGTTAGGTTGGGTTTAAGATAAGATAGGTTAGATTTGGTTTAAGATAGGATAGGTTAGGTTGGGTTTAAGATAGGATAGGTTAGGTTTGGTTTAAGATAAGATAGGTTAGGTTGGGTTTAAGATAAGATAGGTTAGGTTTGGTTTAAGATAGGATAGGTTAGGTTGGGTTTAAGAGAGGATAGGCTAGGTTTGGTTTAAGATAAGATAGGTTAGGTTGGGTTTAAGATAGGATAGGTTAGGTTGGGTTTAAGATAGAATAGGTTAGATTTGGTTTAAAATAGGATAGGTTAGTTTGGTTAAAGATAAGATAGGTTAGGTTGGTTTAAGATAGGATAGGTTAAGTTGGTTTAAGATAGGATAGGTTAGGTTTGGTTTAAGAGAGGATAGATTAGGTTGGTTTTAAGATAGGATAGGTTAGGTTGGGTTTAAGATAGGATAGGTTAGGTTGGGGTCAAGATAAGATAGGTTAGGTTGGGTTTAAGATAAGATAGGTTAGGTTGGGTTTAAGATAGGATAGGTTAGGTTGGGTTTAAGATAAGATAGGTTAGGTTTGGTTTAAGATAGGATAGGTTAGGTTTGTTTTAAGATAGGATAGGTTAGGTTGGGTTTAAGATAGGATAGGTTACGTTGGTTTAAGATAGGTTAGGTTGGGTTTAAGATAGGATAGGTTAGGTTGGTTTAAGATAGGATAGGTTAGGTTGGGTTTAAGTTAGGATAGGTTAGGATGGGTTTAAGATAGGTTAGGTTGGGTTTAAGATAAGATAGGTTAGGATGGGTTTAAGATAGGATAGGTTAGGTTGGGTTTAAAATAGGATAGGTTAGGTTGGGTTTAAGATAGGATAGGTTAGGTTGGGTTTAAGATAGGATAGGTTAGGTTGGTTATAGATAAGGATAAGATAAGAGCTGAGGCAAATTCCTCTACAACCAAACATCTTAAAATATATTGTAAATATATTGACATGTGATTGACAAGTTAGGGTTAATCGCCTGACGGCTGGGTGGACAGCGCTTCGGATTCGTAGTCCTGAGGTTCCGAGTTCGATCCCCGGTGGAGCCGGAAACAAATGGACAAAATGTTTCTTTTACCCCCCTGATGCTCCTGTTCACCTAGCAGTAAATAGGTACCTGGGAGTTAGCTGTTACAGGCTGCTTCCTGGGGGTGGAGGCCTGGTCGAGGACCGGGCCGCAGGACATTGATCCCCGACCCCAGCAACAGGTAGACCAACCTCCTCATCTACCATCATCATCTACCAATATCATCTACCAATCTACTCATCTACCAACCTCCTCATCTGCCAATCTCCTCATCTACCAATCTACCAACCTCATCTGCCAATCTCCTCATCTACCATCATCTACCAATATCATCTACCAATCTCCTCATCTACCAATCTCCTCATCTGCCAATCTACTCATCTACCAACCACATCATCTACCAACATCCTCATCTACCAACCACATCATCTACCAACATCCTCATCTACCAATATCCTCATCTACCAACATCCTCATCTACCAACATCCTCATCTACCAACCACATCATCTACCAACATCCTCATCTACCAACCTCATCATCTACCAACCACATCATCTACCAACATCCTCATCTACCAACCACATCATCTACCAACATCCTCATCTACCAATATCCTCATCTACCAATATCCTCATCTACCAACCTCCTCATCTACACACCTCATCTACCAATCTACACAACACGCTACACGTAGACTGCTACCAACCCCCCCCCACCCCTCTCTACCTCCCCCCTCCCCCCCCCCTCTCTACCTCCCCCCTCCCCCCCTCTCTACCTCCCTCCCCCCCCCCCCCTCTCTACCTCCCCCCCCCCTCTCTACCTAGGAACAAACAAGTGTTTCTACTGGGGAAGGGGGGGGGGGTTACCCCTCCCCCCCCCCCCACCCTTCCCCAACCTGTCCCATACGTCACTCCTGTTCCATCTGTCCCGTCCTATCCCCCCCCCCCACTATCCTTACCCCCCCACCCACCCCACCCCCCCCCCCATTTTTTTTTTGCCTGATCTGGGAGGGGTGAGGGAGGGGGGGGGAGGGGGAGGGGGGGGGGAGGGGGTGACAAAAAAAAATCAAAGAAAAAAAACATTCAAAAAAATACAGTACGTGTGTGTCGTCACCTTGGGAAGGGGGGGAGGGGGTAGGGGGGAGGGGGGGGATGGGTAGGGGGAGGGGGTGAGGGGGTGGGGGGGGGGGGGGGGGGGGGGGGGTAGTGGGAATATGATAACTTTCCGACCATTTTTGTGAGGCTTGTGTCTCTGTGTTTGGAGTTTACCTGGAGTTTACCTGAGGTGGGAGGGTGGGTGTTCGAGAGTTCTATTCCTCTCTCCCCGCGAGCCCGCAGGCCAGGTTTGACTTGTGAGAGTTTGGTCCACCAGGCTGTTGCTTGGAGCGGCCCGCAGGCCCACATAGGGTTCTGTAAACACCTGTGTGTAAAACTAGTAGGGTAAGGCTTACCATGAGCTAGAGAGAGAGAGAGAAAGAGAGAGAGACGGACAGAGAGAGAGAGAGAGAGAGAGAGAGAGAGAGAGAGAGAGAGAGAGAGAGAGAGAGAGAGAGAGAGAGAGAGAGAGAGAGAGAGAGAGAGAGAGACAGAGAGAGAGAGACAGAGAGAGAGACAGAGAGAGAGAGAGAGAGAGACAGAGAGAGAGAGAACACGAGAGAACACGAGAGAACACTAGAGAACTACCTACCCAAACAAGGCCATTCCTGGCTACCAAAACCCAATTTTAAATATCATCACGGTCTTTGCCAAGAAAATAAGCTTAGCATCAACAGAAAACGGGACACTAGGAGGCAGACTTTAATATTAAAACGTGAAGTAACTCGGCGCCTTTAACCTCTTAAAGCTGAAATTATCGTCATATTTCCCTTGTAAAGTTCCTCATTTTGACCGTTTTTTGGTATATTGATTATTGTACTTTACACTTTTTCAAAAGTGGGCCCCTAGGAAGCCGGTCGGCCGAGCGGACAGCACGCTGGACTTGTGATCCTGTGGTCCTGGGTTCGATCCCAGGCGCCGGCGAGAAACAATGGGCAGAGTTTCTTTCACCCTATGCCCCTGTTACCTAGCAGTAAAATAGGTACCTGGGTGTTGGTCAGCTGTAACGGGCTGCTTCCTGGGGGTGGAGGCCTGGTCGAGGACCGAGCCGCGGGGACACTAAAGCCCCGAAATCATCTCAAGATAACCATCTCAAGATAACCATCTCAAGATAACCATCTCAAGATAACCATCTCAAGATAACCTGGCGAGATATATGTGAACCATTTAGTAGGGTTTTACATGTATTTTTTCTATGTATTTTGTTACTATTGGGACTAGTCTACTTAATGGATATATACAAGAGAGGTATACTTAGCATATTGGTATACATATAGTCTACTTTTATCCCGGTCTATGTCTATGTTGGATAGT